TTATGCAATACTAAATCTGTTGTGTTTGGGTTGTAGTAGATATGCTGTACCTAAGTAATAATCTCTGTTTTGATCCAATGTTATTTGGATATGCACAAGCCCTCTACGACTAGTAAACCTCAGTCTCCCAGCAAAAGAAACCCGTCTGGAACACTGCTAGACAATCCAGCGAGAGCATTGAGAGAGGAAGAGGTGTGAACGCTCAGGGAGGTAACAGGTAGACCGAAGAAGCAGCTCGCTTTCCTCTGGATGGATGCAGAGCATTTAAATAGCTCTCATCTGAATCCATGAGGTCTTTAAAAAATCTCTTCAAAGCACTCGATTGATGAGAGGATGCGGCGTAGCACACTGAACAGCACTTACTGTTCGGATAATAATTAAGAGCTGGAGGTTTGGCTGATATCCTGTTATTTATTTGCAAAAAAAAAATCAGTTTATTTCTTGAAAATGATTCTGTTATTATAAGCTATTGTAATATCGCTTGGTGGTCACATCAAATAATTCAGTATTTTCTCAAATATTATCAGCGAAGGTCTACCACCAATACTTCTCTCATAAAGTGAACATTTGTTTTTCCTTCAAGTGGCATGTAATGTGTTCTACAATATTTAAAACGAGCAATATGCCTTGTGTTACAATTACGGGTCTCTACAGTGCAGTCATCACTCTATTTTAATTAACTTTACTCATCCAGCTGAAACTGATGTTTACTCTGTCTAAAACAACAAGCCCCATCACTCTGTTTTCATCTTATGTACTGGTATGTTTGCGATATTGGCAGGATAGCAGAAAATGGTCATCGGATACATGGTTACTTGTGTCCAAACATTACCTGCGTCTTCACACAGGCCTGTAAAGTGATGTCCTTCTGTATATTCTCAATTGAGATATCCCATTTTAGCAAGGGATTGATGCTAAGTGTGCTATTCAATCAGTGTATAGTATACAGTAAAATGTGCTGGTCCTTCTGTCTCTGCTCTGTTGTCTGTGTGTAAAAAGCAATAGTGTGTGTATGAGTGTGTATGAGTGTGTGTGTGTGTGTGTGTGTGTTTGTTCTCACAGTGTGTGAATAAAATAAACCCCAGACAAGGCTTTAATAATTACAAAGGAACAGGGTTATATGGACGAGGATTTTATTTTGGACTTTTTTTAAGAATATAAGGTTTTGAAAATGCTCAGCTTGATCCATCCATGATAGGTGTAGGTTTCAAAAGCGTGACATAATGCCTTCAACAATTCAGAGTCTGCCGAATGCTGTGAGGCAACATTGAGCAGCTTCACAGAGAAAACACATTCGCTGTCGGTCGAGACAGCGCGGCCACGGCCTGAGCTGGAAAGAATTTAAATGAATTCTGGAGTGTAAATTGTGAAAATGAGTCTTCTCGGCCGTAAATTGTGAAGATCAGCGTTATGTCACGCTTAACGTTGTGCTGGAGTGTCGATGTGTTACCCAGAATTATGAGTCACTCGTCACATTTGAACAGAACTCATTTTCCAAAGCACAGTTGATAAGGATTTATGATTAAAAATATGTTTAAGAGTATAGTAAAAAAAAAAAAATGGAAAGCAACTTTTAGCCATAATCGAATGTCAAGCAATAATATATGTCTGTGCATTATTTTTAATCCTTTTGTGCATAATAGTCTTTGAACATCTGCATGTAAATACACCTCTTATTTATCACATTTTGGTTCATTTTGTGTTGATTTTGTGGATGTTTTTATGTTTCATCTGTATATTTGACCAGTTCCGTTCCCAGGTGGAGAACTAAGAACTTGACATGGCCTGTATGCTGTATATCTTATTTTCTCACTCTTTCTCTCTCCCTCATCCTCGGCTGTTTATTCACAATATTTAATGTTATTATTGATCACATGTATAAAGGTAGCTTTGTAATTTCTGTCTGTATAGGTAAGAGGAAAATACTGCTACTAAAGGCCTACCCAGTGAAACTATTTATCTGTTTTTCAATGACACCATATTGTGCGATAGCTCTGTTTCTAGTTTGCCTCCCTCTTTCAGGATTAGTTTGATAGCAATAGGGTGTGCTGACATTTATCTTGTGTTGCCATGATGTGTGGTGCTAGGTAAGTTAATTTGTGAACAAAGTATTGATTCCTAAGCCTGGCCGCCCTATTAGTCCATTCATTTCATAGCATATTAATGTATTATTGATATTAGGACTCAATAAATAATAAAGATAATGAAAATGATAGCGGTAAAAAAGTACCCTGCCAGTACCTGTATCAGTGTGCTCGTCTTGGGGTAAGGCACTTATTTCCTTCTGACTTATAGCGAAGCTAGTATCTGCTAATTAACAAGCTATTTAAGGTTGCTCTTCTGGTTTGTGGAAAAATTATAATATTCAAACTGAAACAGCAGTATATTGTTTTTTTTTTCTTTGTCTGATTGTAAAAACCACTCACTGAGGCTATAGTTTGTCAGGTTTTAAGATACTAAATATTTACCTCTCTTGTGTCTGCATAGTTCTTCACCTGATGCAGGGAAGTGGTGCTTGGATTTTAATAAACAGCGTCGGTATGCTTTTGTTATTCCCCATTTTAGACTATCCTAAGACTGGTTTATTCAGACCAGTAGTGTAAACCTCTTGCACCACTTAAAGTGTTACAAATTTACATGAAATAATTGCCATTTGAGGACAAAGTTGACCTTTTCTCTCCACTCTGTAGCAAATATCAGTGAGAATATGCTTGCAATAATACACAACGTATCACACTGAGTGCCTCTCGGTGTAACAAGATGCATACATAGTTTTGATTGTCTTTTTTTGTGGTTTTCCAGACGTTTAATGAAGTGACAATGTATTTTGTACGAGGAGAAATTCTCAACTCACATGCTTTTTCAGATTCTTTCTTTATGTGATGTTAATCATTTTCACATGGGTTGATGCGCTATGTTAAAGGGTTTCAGTGTATAGATGGTCCGTTTAGAGAGTACATGTCATCCCTCACCTCGTTTTTTGAAAACCTAACTGGGGAGTTTGTTTCATGTTGATCTTGAATGGTGAAATAAATGCTCGCAGACAATGCTCCAGAAAAGTTCACCTTTTTTTAATCAGGCAAAACTTACAGGCAACCCACATTTCTTCACTTTGTGCTTGTTTTATATCAACTTTTTTTTATTTCACTGAGATTTACTAATGCATTGTATATCAAGTAGTTGTATGGGTTTGTAAAAGAGGCATACAATACATCTGGATTTCTTTTAATGTTCTGTGTTCAATGTGCGCTCAATGGTTGGGGTAACTTAACATGAAGGGTGGGTGGAGCAGGGGTGCATTCTTTTTCCATGCAAAAGCAGTGCAAGTTATGGGAAAGCTGAAACTAGTGTGTGGTTTTCACACATTTCTAAGTCACACGTTTGCTACTGATGTTAAAATGGGGACAGATGATCATGTAACTTTTTATCCAGCTCTTTTGAAGTCTCTTTAGCAGGTAGTCTATTCACAAACTTAGTTTTGCTCCTTGTCTGATTCTTAAATATGAAAATAAGTATTTTGATTCATTTTGTAAATACAGCTGTAAAGAAAAATAAGAAATTTAATGTTGTCTTTTAAATACTTTTCATTCTAATATGAATGTTGTTATATTGTACTTAGAAACTGTACCTTTAATATTACCTTTATTAAAAGTGCATTGGACACATCGATTTTAGATGTGCTTTATGTGCTGTTATCCCATAATAAAATTTACCGCTTGTAATGGGCTTCTATTTTCTGACTCTTTATCTGTTTCTGTTGTCTAATCTCTCTTCAGCTCACACTCTTTTCAACTAAATAATCATATTCCATGTTTTTAACAACTGGCAAAGATAATCTTAATCACACACTAACAAGTTATTAAAGAGAAAATAGAAATAGAGAGAACATACCTGTCAAAATACTTTGATAGTAAACTACATCATCTGCCATTTAGACATTAAGCTATACAACCATTTAAGCAACATGACACCTTTTTGGTGGTGGTCTTGACATATTTCACTATCACAATTGATTGATGACACAATATGAAAATCTGTCTATTTAGAGAAGTAAAGATTCTTTGGTTACTTTAAAATCTTTAATATGATTCGAAATGCAGATATTTCTAAAGGATAGCATTCAGCATTTTTCTCAATTTCTTGACACAACCTGCATGGACAAACAGGAGTTTTCGAACAATGTTATGCCGATATACATGTGTGTATAATACTCTTGATATTATTGTTGGAACACTATATTTAATTTAATGTTGCCTATATCTTTTTAATTGATGGTTCATATACCCAATGTTGAAATGAGCATTTAGGTTCGAACATACAAGAAAAATAGAAGGACTGTGGCAACACCTCCTAAAAAGTGCCTTCCATAATTTAAGTAAAGAATTTAATAAATGTAAACATATCTTAGGATATTGTGGCCTGCAGAAACAGACACAACAGGATGTCAAATTCAGAATAGTTTTATTGACATGACCATAATGGCATACAGTATTGCCAAAGCTTTGTACAATAACGACATCTATGCATAAATAAAGATGTAGAATGTATTGGAAAATTCTAGAAAAAAAGGACTGTGGCAACACCTCCTAAAAAGTGCCTTCCATAATTTAAATACACAACAGGATGTCAAATTCAAATGGCTTTATTGACATGACCATAATGGGATACAGTATGGCAAGGCGCCGTATCGATAGAATATATATTATAATAATAAATAATAATAATAATAATTCTATTATACGGCTCTGAGTATGGCCAAAGCTTTGTACAATAACGACATCTATGCATAAATAAAGATGTGGAATGTATTGTAATGTTCATAAACATTTTGAATACAAGTACAAATAACATGTTTTCTTTACAAGGAAAACATTTAACTTTTTGTAGATGAACTAGAAAGTTAATAAAAAAATACAGTTAAATAACAGATCGTTTACTTTTGATGTCCGGCAGGGGGCAGCGATGTCCACAGAGCGCTTTAATGTCAACATCATTTCAACAGACGAAGAAGATCACCTGGCAAACGTTTGTTTGCTTGCTAGCACATGTGGATACTCATAATGTTGTCATTTCCGCGGACCTCTTGTTAGTGTGGCTATAATGGAACTAGTATGGTAAGTCGTATTTTCACTGTAAGCATAAGCAGAAGGTCAGTGGTAGATTGTGTGTCAATTCAAGTAATAAACTTAACTTTGTGCTATTTCATTTTTGCTAAAAAGCTTAGCGACAGCTCTGTTATTGTTGTAACTGACAGCTCGCTATGCTAACCAAAGGTGAGCTACTTCCATAGTAGAAACTATCTTAACCGTAATTGTTGACGTAGTTTTATTTAAAACGCTAATAAGTACCAGTGAAGACTCAACCAGAGAGCTGCAACATGCAAGCATAGCTGCAGTCAAGCTACTATAATGAGTCTGGAAATAATAATAAACCGAATTGTTTTAGTTGAACGAAATATTTGTCTCATTGTTTTGTGTTGTAAACAGTTTTTATGTTGTTAAGCTAAGCCATGTAGCTAAATGGCATGTACCGCCAAGACTTTCCTAAACTATTTAACTAACGCCAAACAAAAATGTACTGTTGACTCTAGATTTGAACTGACCTCCAGAATTTGACTTGACAACTGTCTTGTTGGTATAATGCATTTGTTCCCAACATAGCTTATAGAGACTAAACACGGTGTTCTTGATCTAGAAAGCTTTCTTAGACATTTTGTCGTACAGACGTTGGGATAACGTTTGCTTTTATTTTGAAGGTTGAAACGGAAGTTGCTTTCTTCTCTTAATCTAACTTTGATGCTGCTCCACCTGACATGATAGGGAATCATCTGTTATATTTTGGATATTACAATGGACTGTAAATATACGGTTATTACAAGTCTAAAAACACCTACTAAACTTGATACTGTGTCACCCTGTCCAGCTGTAAGGGGAATTTGATAGTAACAGTACTCAAAATGAATTATACTGACATGTATACATAATATAACAATTTGCCTTATTGCAAACCGCTAAAGCACTATGTCAAAGGCCTGACATTGTTTGTTTGTTAAGGAGATTTGCTAGTTAGTGTGAATTGATCTTTAAGAGCCGTTGTTCTTAAACACAGAGTTTCACTTGGAGATAATCAATAAATGACCAATTGAGTGACATAAAACCAACGTTATTTTCAATAACTCCGTACTAACTTGCCCATATTAGTGAAAATATTTAGGCTTAAACATATAATAAAGTAGTCTTATATGGCCCACCTTTGTTGATAACATGTGGGTTATGAATTGTAATATCTTTGATATAAAGACACAAGATTTTCATCGGCATAACTACACTGTAGCTATGTTCGTATGACTAAATAAAGAACCTTGAATAACTCCAAATCAGTTGTTTTCAAAAGCTTCCATGCAATATATAACCACGTGATTTTAAATCAATGTCAAAATGATGTGAAACTTCAGAATTGTCATAGAAACATTTATATACAATAGAAGGTTGTCTAAAATCACCCAAAAAGTTGGCAGGTCCAGCGTTGCAATTTGGAGTCGCTCAGCAGGATCTGATTCAGGAACTTGTACTTTTGAAAATGAGTTGCCAGCTTCTGAAGATTAATTTCATGTCAAAACCCTTGCCGATATACACAATTAAACTCAGCAGAAAAGAATGACACTACACCTGAGTCATCTATTACGTTGAGTAATGGTCATTTATGCACTACCCTAAAACACAAACTTTGAGACACTCGCATGTCAAAATAAACTGTCCACCCACAAAAGCCATGCAGAAACTGTTGCATAATGTTTGGTACAATGCAGTGCCTCAAATACTGTTTTTTTTTCTTCTTTAAATGTAGGGAGGACCCCGAGGTCCCCGATGCTCCTTTGTTTACCAATGATCTTTATGTCAAATATTCACTTGCACCTAATGTCAGAGAGCTGTGGGACTTTCTCCAAAGGTTTGTTGATGATAATAAATCAGCTCAAACAATTTTTTACTCTGTTTTCTAAGGCTAAATTATATATCTGTATCTAACATGTTTTACCTCAATTTCTTTCTCCTTCCACAAGTCCTGTACAGAACATAAAACAGGACTGTGGGACTTCAAAAGCTTCCTCCTCCTCTCCTTCTACAAAAGACGCTGACGTTGATACTGACGATCCGTTTACAGACAATGATGGGCAGGGTGCAGCACAATGTTGGGATACAGAGAAATCAAGAGTAAAGCTCAAGCCGATTGAGATGGAGGCGGGTGCTGTTTACCCTGAACCCAGAATGCCCTACCCCTGTCCGTCCAGCCTATCAATCAATGGCCAGAAGACTTATCTTGGCTTTTTGATGAGTAAGAAAGCAAGCGATCCTCCACAGGTACCTACATGAACTCCTTAATGGTATTTCAATCCTGCCTGTCCTTTTTTGCCACGGGTCTTCTAATAGTATGTTCTAATATTTCAGAACTTGCAGGCACAAGTAAACAGTGAAGTGATGCAGTTCATGAGGTACCTGAAAGACGTGGCCAAAATATGTGCTGACGACTACAACTTCATATCACAGGGAGCTATGCAATATTCCGAGGTAGTGATACTGCAAGGATTGCCCCTGTCATCAGCTCTGTGATGTATGTTCATAAGTGTTAAAACATAGAGCCCTAATTTGTTCTTCAGGAGTTCTTCAGGGGGTGTTTGGAGCACATCAGGACGTTTCCTGAGCTCTACCAGATCCATGAGATGACTAGTCTGACCGGGGGAACATTCAACCCAGGGCTGAAGCTGACCTTTGAGAAACAGCTGCTGGTCATGGTGATGAACTTTTGAAGTGCTAGTATAACACGGGAGCTTTTCTAGTCAAAGAAGTGTAGGGCTACCACTTCATTTGTTGTTCATTATGCCATTGTGCACTTTTCTTTTCAACCTTTCCAACTCGAAGTGATGAATTGCAGAATCAGTCTTTTGGTGTTGATTCACTTGTTCCATTTCCATATTTGTACCCTTCATTTCTCCAGGGCAATGTGGATATTACAGACCACACCATGGTGCCTGCTGATGCACAGCTTGCATCGGATTATCAGAGTGTTTCATCACAAAATCCTCCAGCTAAAAAAGCCAAGGACATGCACGCTGTAAGCAATTGTCTCTTCTTTTTTAATTAGCAAGTCACAAAGCTGTTTTACTGCTAGAATAGGATTCATGACCGCAGGTCTATTGTTACACCATTTCACTTCTTGCAGTTTTAACAAAAGACACCAGAGGGTGTTCTTGTATTGCTCAGCAAAACCAGTGCTAATTGTGTTTCTGAAAGAAGTCAAAGTCCAGTTAATAGTAGACTATTGAGAAGTTACCTGTGTTGGTTTGACTGTAGTTCTGGTTTTCTGACCCGGTCTTGTTTTTCTCTGCAGACAATCAGCGGTGATGTTAATGCTAGCAGCCTGTGTGCTCGTTATGAGCCTCATGTGTGTCTCACTCGAGACGCCCTCGTAAGGCTGCTAGATAACCATGGCCCAGACTTTGCAGAGCAGTGGGAATTACCGGTTTGGATCAAGTTAAACCCAGGAGAAGGTACGGCATCATCATTCAGATACTCGGGCTGTTCTAGTTGACGTAAGATTAACTAAGACACATTTAGGGCTTGCTTCGAATGGGTACAAATCCTTTCTTTTTCTTTCTTTACGTTGCTGCTCACTTTCAGCTATAAAGTCATGGTTATAAAGCCACAAAAGTTCATCCAATTGTATCCTGTAAAAGCCAGATATTAGAATGAATTATGTTTGCTCTAAATAACTTAGATACAGTAACATACATCTTAACAAAAAACTACAGAATTATTTTTAAATGCACACAAAATGTGTTCGATGATGACCCCAGATATTGACCTTGCTACATTAATATCAATGACAGATTCAAATAGTAGTGTGTATACAAGAGACCTACAATAGGAGATGCATTTTTTGTAATGACATTGAGCGGCCTCATGGTGGCACCATTTCACAGATCCTTCATTTCACATGTTTTATTTACAGGCAATAGACAGAAGAAGACTGTATATATAGACTCACCCCTTCTGAAGACTGAAATGACCATGAAAGAGAGGAGCCATGTCTTCCATGAGGAGAGTCTGAAGCTCTCCATCAAGAAGAATGGGAGTAAAAATGTCTTCCATTTAATGACGGAGCTTCGTGAGGATAAGCAGCAACTCTCTGTATGTGGTCGCACAACAAAAGTAATATCTTTAATGTGGTCTTATTTATCAGAACAATAATCTTTTGTTTTCTGTTTCTCCATCAGGAGGGCTCAAAAAGAAATATAGTGTCTGGTGAAAACAGTGGACTTGACTTTGAGGTGGACCTTACTGACCTGGAGACATTTGGTGAGACGAAACCCATTAAAACCCCAAAGACGCCGAAAAAGAAGAACGAGCAGGATGCCTGTGTTGAAAGTACGAAAGCATCAAGTTCTGCGTCTGTGACTAATACTAAAAGGTCCAGTGAGCGTCCTGCAAACACTACCAGCAGTTCACAAGAAGAGATGGACACCTCAGTGGCAGGTGAGGATGATCCCGTAACAGAGGAGAGAAATCAGCCAGCTGGGAATGAGGCCATTGCACCAACAACTGAAGACATGAGGCCGGACTCTCCTCAGGAATGTAACGAAGACCCACCTTTTATGGGAGATTCTGATGAAGATCAACTGGTCATTGATGACTCCATTGTGTGTCCAGCTCAAACACCTACTACACAATGTAAGACCACACAACTCTCTGCTGACGCCAGATCTGATTCTCTAAACTCAGAGTGTTCTTCCCCTGAAAAACCAACAAAGCAGAAACGACAATCCAAAAAAGCAAAGGTATCCGGCGACCAGCTGAGTGACATCCTGCGCATGCAGACAGCCATGTTCAACTGTGCCAGTGACACGGCCAAAAGCTCCACTGTATCCCAAGAGATGAGCTCACCAGCCCGAGGTGCGGGACCCTCAGTTCACTCTTATCCTACGTCTCTGGTGAAGCCCTGTGTGTCCTCATATTTGGAGAGAAACAACAACCAGGATGGAGAGAGCGACGCTGCTTCTCACGAATCTGCACTAGAGGCCAACAGTACAAATACAAAGCATAAAAGTTAGTGGCAAACAAATGTTCTTTCAATGATTTAAGTTGTTTCTCCGTGTGGTTCATTAACCGTAAGTGGCTCAGTCAGTAGGGGCTTGGAAAGTGAGCCGTAGGGTCGCCAGTTCAAGTCAGTAGGGACTTGGACAGTGAGCCGTAGTGTCGCCAGTTCAAGTCAGTAGGGACTTGGACAGTGAGCCGTAGTGTCGCCAGTTCAAGTCAGTAGGGGCTTGGACAGTGAGCCGTAGGGTCGCCAGTTCACGTCCCTGAACGGACCTAAAATATGGAGTGTGGACTGCTACTTGGAGAGTTCCCCTCCTGAGCCCTGCCATGGTGCCCTTGAGCAAGGCACCGGACAACCCCCCCACTCCCAATGCTCCCCGGGCGCTGTACAATAGCTGCCCACTTCTCCTAGTACTAGGATGGGTTACATTTCACTGTGTGTGCTCTGTGATCATGTATGTCTGATAATTAACGAGAGTTTCATTTCTCTGATTCTATAATATTCTATATAACATATCGTACATTATTTGCCACCTACAGAACTACTGTCAGAAGAACTGCAGGCTGGTGCAGAAGATGAGCAAGATTACGTCGCTCCAGAAGAAGGCAACCTGCTCTACAAGCTCTACAGTCTGCAGGACCTGCTGCTCATGGTGCGGAGCTCTGTGTCACTGACCCATAGCAGGAGAGTCGGCCAAAACGACCAAAACCAGGTATAAGTATAGTATTAGTCGTCACTCGTCCTCCAAAAATGTAATTTCACAAATTAAAGTATAAGTCCAAATCTTCATCAGCCTGATTTCTGTTTTCTTCTTCACCACAGCATGTGCCAGTGCATATCTTGCCCAAGCTGGAGTACCAGCTGAGTTATGGAGTTGAGTGTCTGAACAGCAGTGAGGCTTGCCAGCTGTGGACGGAGAAATTGCTCCACTCCAGCACTGTACCCTGCATAGGTAAAACTTGTGTTGCTTTTCTTACCCACAATGCTATATTCCTTCAGTGAAAATAGAGACAGGAATGTTACCAAAATAATCTCTATTCTAGTCTTATAGTCAGTATCGCTTTTAGTCTTTAATTTATTTTAACATACATGCCAACAATATAATAAAAGAACTGTTTATGTGGATAAAAAAACAATACTTTTCTCCTCTCTCCTTCAGAGGGTTCAGTAGAGTCAACATGGAAATCCTCCCACGAACCAATGCAATAGTCTTCAGATGACTCACCGTCCTGCTGTGTCTCTGTGTTGATTAAGTTTACTTTGTTGCCATAACTACAGCCACATTGGATTATGGAGAATTACAGAGAACGCATTGTGCAGACCTCAGCTAAATGCTGTTTTGAACTGCAGTTAAATCCTCTTGAAAAATGATTCCAAACTGCTTACTATCCCTGTTGCTCAAGATTCAGGGAAAGACTTCATCTTCATTCTGTGAGAGATTCATTAATCTGTTGACTCGTGTAGGTGTTATCTCTGGGACTGTACATCGTCATCTTCACAGCAGAATGATTATTTGTTCTATCTAATGAAGGCAAAAGGAGTCCCTAAAGCACACCCCTTTCCAGTCTGACATTCTGAGCCGGAGCATAAGTGTTGGTGTCCCTACAACAATGTACTGCTTTCTTATACTCAGCTTGACAGAAATACCTTTGCCAAAAAGTGGATGTCACCCTTCATCAGACATTTAAAACCTTAGATGTCTAAAGAGGAGAAAAAAACGTCTCATGTTTCTGTGCTAGAATTATTAGAAAATGATGAGCCAGTGAGGAAACAATGATACAATTCCAGCTTCATGGAACTATACAATAACTCTCACCTCTTGACATTATGATGCAACCGATAAAGGACTTCCTTGTATGCTTCGTAGTTCATCATGAGGTTTATCATGTGGCTTTCCCATTTGTGTATTTCTGGCTGTGGCTGCAAGCTCTAAAACAAGTTGGAATAAGCAGGCATTACATGTTGGAGTGGGAGGCAGGACCAATAAGCATTTCTTACCACCCACTTAAGCTTGTAACAATGCTGGGAAATCAACACAGGCTAATTACTTTGTAAGCACAAGGAGAGGCATTGATGATGAAGTGAGGCTCTTGATGTGCTCATTAGCTCTTGATCTTTCCTCAGTGTATCGCTCACCCTCCTGTTCTGTCTCTGCAGCTCACATCAATGCGCTCACATCAAAAGTAGCTCTGCTCACAAAGCTGCCCGACAACTGGAAACCCAACATCTCCTGTGGGTTCAAGTGAGTGTCCTTACAGCAGATGTGCACAGATGTTTAGGTTTCACCTTATAACCCCTGTATGATTATATCTTGACAAATGTTGTCATATTAAAGTAAAGTCACATAATAAATCATCTACGCCATTTTCATCAACGGGGGCTACCCTAATATACGTTTTATGGTGCCTTTTTATCTGCACTGTCAATTTGCTGTAACAATGTACATTTAGCCCCTGTGGAACAAATAAAGAATTTCTGATTCTGATTATTAAAATCTCCTCTAATCATCTGAATTAGTGTAAAAGATTAGACTCCTGCCAAAAGAAACTGACTGAAATATGAATGTTCCATCCACAGGCCATCGAAGTCTCTGAATATACTGCACCACCTACTGAAAAAGCTTACTGGGTAAGTTGATGACGACGACAGTGTTTATTTTAGCTCTGAATGTACATTATTTATTGAGCTCCCTCATAAGAATGGTAGTGGCATGCATCTACAGGTTTAAATGTTTTGGTTCTAATGCAAGCACTTAACATATTTTATGTGTAAAACTATGGAAAATGTGGTTTGATGAATGTACGGTCCAAATTGGGGAAGGGTTGGGTCCTCCTCTGTAGTTCTGTTGTTTAGTTGGGCAACATCTGCAGATGAGTTATCTGTGATCCTCTGTCTGTATGCTCTGTTAGGATGATTAGAATTATGAAACTGTCAGCCTCGGGTTAAAAGCATGAGTTTGCCTTCATGTTTGTGTTGTAGGGTTACACAAGCGATTACTCAACGGCACATAATGCATGCGTCACCTTCTGCTTTCCCAAGGATCTGTTCCCCCCTCGGAATGCTCCAACATGTCTCAGTGTGTGTGTTTCTGACAATAACACACCTCCAATGACTTCATTTGATTTTCTAGGTTAGAGGAAGGACAGTACCTGATTGCGCACAAGGCAGGGGAACCATTTGTGACCCTATTAAAAGTGGCTAATGGGAAAGTGAGTCGGGGGGCATACAACCTGCAGCAGGTCCACAGCTCCGTCCCCCAGCCCCCCACATCCGGCCTCGTCCCCTGGATACCTGTTGATCCATCTGTGGTGCTGCCCTTCCACAAGAAACACGGCCGTGTCCCCTGCACCTTCCCGCCAAAACCCTTTGTGCAGGTTTGTATTTACGTTACCATTGTTACTGCATTTATAGATGGTACTATGAAACAATATTATAGCAGTGGAGATCATGAAAGTAATGACAATGAGTTGAAAGACTATTGAAACCAGTAGAAGTGTTTATTTGTTAATGCCTATGAAGTACACACCCACTCTCAGGAATTCTCTAAAATCCAAGATGCGTACCATGCGGTCTCCCTGTGTGGTGGTGGGTGCAAAGCCCTCCGTTGTGTTCTTATCAGACAGGCTGAGTCAGTGCAGTGAATAGTTCTCCTACGCATGTCCAAAACTAACAGCAGAGACAAAAGAGAGCAAAATCAACAACTGTTCAGCAGGGTTAGGGGTGTAGACTCTGAGACATTCATTAGATGCCTGTCTGAGTCCACATAGCAAGACGTTAACACATCTTTAAACTTGTCAACTGCAATAGCAAACTTATAATTTAAACTGGGCATTTGTATAGTCAACATCCGAGAATAACAGATAAACATATTATTTGGTCCCAGTTATTTACATTTCTTTTGACCTTCCTTCATCCTACCAGACAGCGAAAGATGGTTCATCGCAGTCGCAGTACAACAACCATGGAGCCGGACAGGCAAAGAACAACCGGAATGCAGTAGGCAAACTGAAGAAACGACAAAAGAACCGTAAAAAGTATATTAAAAACCTACTTAAAAAGACATTTTAAGAAGTCCCACGTCAAAGGATTCAATATCATGTCTTCTCATTTCATATAAGGTGAGGAGCTGAACCTGTACTGCTAAGGAAAGGAAAGGAAAGCGCAGCATAGCACTAACAATGTACATCACTTCATACTGGTGTTATACTAAGACTTTGAACATAAATGTGAACGTTTAAGCACTTTGAGAGTATAATCTAGAACTTTCTATTTTTTCATATGTTGGTAATTATAATTTGTGAAAAGATATAAATAATAAACTTTGTCTAAGTAACCATATGTGAGTATGTCTTTATAACTGTTTGTGTGGAACGAATGATTCAAGACATCACCTTGAACATTTCCTGAGGGTACAGATGTTCCAGTGACTTATGAATAGTGTTTTGGGGAAAACAACCAAAGTATCACAACTTTTTCATTAGCTTCTAGTGGAACAGGGTGGAGTGTTGTGTGCATGGAAAAGGGGAGGGAGTCTGAATGAGGGGAGGTGAAAGGGGAATTGTTTTCTGTCCGAAAGATAAACCTTCACACCCATTCCACTTAAACACTGCCTGGACATATCTCTGCATCATCTCAACTCAACTCAGCTAAGGTAAGTCCAGTGAAGTTATACATTTGACTTTGAACTCTTTCTATAACTTAGATTAACTTTGCAATGCAGGGACGTTTAAGGGAATTCTCCAACTTGCTGTCATGAGCAAATGACTTCCACACCATTTCCTTTCTTCTTGTGCACACATGCTTTGTATTTACTTTTTCTTGAGTTATGTCTAAGTAAGGATGTGTGAGCGCTCTAACCTGTTTCATTGTATGGCTGTGAATGTGCTCAGTTGACTGCAGTACAGTAGCATTTTCCAGGGTGTGTCTCTTTGGGGCTAGTGTTAAGGAGTGTGTCAGACTGAATAATGATTTAAATGTGTTAATGGGTGTTCAATAGTATCTAACCTTTTTACCATAAAGTGAATGTGGCAAAGAAATGAAATCAAAAGAACAACTTGATAAAAATGGAGAAAGTCTCTTGCAGGGATTTGTGTGACTCAGTTGTACCAAAAGCAACAACCTCAGTTTAGTAGACGTTTCCTTGGTGGGCTGAAGTGATTATATCTTGAGACTAAAAACAAACATGACCCAATGCCTGCAGCTCAGACAAGTCACAAGATAGGGTTACACATAGATGTGATTACAAGATTGTGTAGTGTTGACCGTTTTTGTCATCTTTTACAGCACATTCAAAATGGCTATGGTATCAGAGTTCCTGGGACAGCTGTGCCTCAACATTGGGGTAATGTCATATCTTCATTTGACTTTTCATACAATACATGATGTACCATAAATAACATGGCGTTAATTTAATATCACTCTAATGTGCTTTGGATCCCCCAGGCCAATGAACCCAAACACCCCACGGTGGTACCTGCTACGGATTTCAACCCTGACACAGACGCTGCTAGAATAGAGACTGCAATGAAAACCAAAGGCAAGAGAAAAAAAAATCAGTGCTTGGTTCTGCTTCTCCTTCCCACAGAAGAGTGGTTGGTATTTGTGAGTCAGCATCCTGGCTCCAATGTTTTGACCGTGCTGGGAAAACCTCCAAGTCTGAGCCTCGGAGCTGGCAGAGCTTTGTTCTGGGAGCTGTTGGCAACATTCTGACCGCTACTACTCCTCAACAGTCCACCATTTTGTTGTTGTGAATGATATGTTTAATGTGTCATGATGTTTCTTTACTAATGAGGGTTTGATCTTGGACAGTACCTTGTGACCACGTCATGTGTGAAGCTATCTCTGCTGCCAGGCCCTTCTTGTGTTTGTTTATTCTTCCCAAAACACTTTTAAAGCTAAATCCAAACACATTATATGTTGAAATGATTCCAAACTTGCTATTTGTCATTTGTGTGCCAACACCATTCAACATTTTAGCACACAGAATGCCTGAAGGCTTATATTCGTACTGTAAGTGTTAGCAGGTTCCACAGAACATTAATAAACATCCTTTCACCAAAAGTGAGATAGAATTATCACCTAAAACATTTGTAAAAAAACTAATTTGAGCCATCCTTATTCTAAATGTTTGGTTATATACACATTATACTTTACATTCCCCTATAGAAACCCTTATAACATATTGACACACTGTTGTCTATAACCCAGTTTTTACACCATATTCCCCTTTGTCTCACTCAATGTGTGTGTGTCTTTTTCATTCTAACATTAGGGGTGGATGAACAGACCATCATCGACATCCTCACAAAGCGGACCTACTCACAAAGGAGAGACATCGCTTTCGCTTATGAGAGGAGGGCAAAGAAGGTACAAAATGCTTCACAGCTCTTACTTTGTGGTGGCTTAAAACAATAAGGACACATAAAGCTAACACTGATGTATTTTCAGGACCTGATCTCAGCTCTGAAGGGAGCGCTGTCCGGCTCTCTGGAAGCAGTGATCCTTGGACTGATGAAGAGCACGTCCCAGTACGATGCCTCACTGATCAGAGCATCTATCAAGGTAAAGGACACACATTGCATCAGTGCTACTCATCATCAGTGGATTTAACGGAAGGGCCACACTGCCCTCTACAGGAAAAATGACTGAACTTGCTTTAATGACACACCCTCAATGATAGTTGTGAATATCCTAAAGTGTCACGTAAAGAGAGTAACACAGATGTATCTCTCTTTCAGGGAGCAGGAACAGATGAAGAAACACTGATTGAGGTGTTGTGCTCACGCAGCAATGAGGAGCTGGTGGACATCAAGAAGGTCTACAAGGAGTGTGAGTCCAAAACATCCAAAGCATTCATACAGGGCTGGAAATATATTGTAATGTATAATGCCGCACCTAAAGGTTATTGTGCTTGTCGTGCATTATATATATTACCATGTCCACCTAAGGTCTTGAGATGTGTATAAATGTTGTTGAACCACACTTTCAATAGCTACGTGGTTGATCTTATGTAGAGGAATCAAATTCCTTGTTTCCCACAGTGTTCAAGAAAGATCTGGAGAAAGATGTGGCTGGTGACACATCTGGGAACTTTGCCAAGCTGCTCCTGGCTTTGGTGGAGGTGAGATCTGTTAGGGCCTGTCGTTATGATTAATGTAACATGATAGAGTTTAAACTGATCTGAGTCATGTGTTGTTTCTGTGCAGACCAACAGAGCAGCTCCAATCGCTGTCGTAGACTATGAAAAGATTGATCTAGATGCCAGAGTAAGTTGTCCATGTATTACTTTGTTTGTGAAATCTAAACTTAATTCATTTAAAATCTGTACCTTTTTTAAATTGTATTCTATATCTAGCTAATGTTAAGTTCTTACTTTTCACCACCGACTTATTCACAGAAAATGTATTGAAATGACCAAATGAGATTTAAAACCCCGGATCATTTGTACAAGTTTAAGCAGTTGGCAGTTTTGGGAATAAGATAATTACTTACATTTGATATATTGATATCTAACAAGGAGCGGCACCCACCCCCATGCCACATTATAAAGTATAAATAATAAGTCTACTGTTATGTTGCTGATTGATATCAGGCCCTCTATGAGGCTGGGGTGAAGATCAAAGGAACTGATGTGCCCATCTGGATCTCCATTATGTCTGAGAGAAGCGTACCCCACCTGCAGAAAGGTAAGACGCACCGTTTCCTTTTGCTGTTATTGTTACGAAAGTATTGGTTTTGAATCCTCGATATCTAAATCGTTCTTCTCTGCTTGTCAGTGTTTCAGAGGTACAAGAGTTACAGTCCCTATGACATGCAGGAGAGCATTGCCAAAGAAGTCAAAGGAGACTTGCAAAAGTCCTTCCTGGTGCTAGGTACACACATTTGTTTATCATGTATTCATATTATTTATGCATATTTCTGTTCTACTTTTGAAGTAAATTGTAACTCTGTAGGTCCGTTTTATTGTATGTCTAAACTTTGAAACACAAAAGACAATCATCTGTCAGCTACAGACCGTGTTACTGTGGATACTTATTCTGTTTTTCTTTTGCTCCAGTTGAATGCTTTGAAAACAAACAGCTGTACTTTGCCAAGCGACTCAATGAAGCCATGAAGGTACTGTGCTGTTCTTTCTTCTTTTGGAAATGTGGCAATTTTGAGGGCCAGACTTTGTCTTTCTTTTTTTGGAACAGAAGTACATCTGCATGTGAAAGAACAACTTTGCTGCAGGAACACCGACTTTCAAGTTGGCAAAAGTGATCTTACAGCAGCGTTACATCAGCTGCTGAAGTTAAGTCTGAAGCGAACAACTTGTAAGTGCTGACTTGTGCTTGTCTGCGCAGAGTAAAGGAGCCAAGGAGAAGATAGTGACCAGGATTATTGTGTCACGCTGCGAGGTGGACCTGAAGAAGATCTGCTCTGAATACAAGACCAGCACCGGGGAGTCTTTGCAAAAGACTATTCTGGTAGGTGACTCATTCAGGCTGATTTACAGTCAGTTCTGTGGTGCAGCCCTTCTCACTTGCTCTGTTTCTGCAGGAACACACCAAGGGAGACTACCAGAAGGTGCTGCTTGGCCTGTGCGGACCGGAGCAGTAAAAATGAATCATCAGTATCAAAATGACCCAAATTCTGCCACTGGAGGGGTGCACTGGAAAGGTGGGCTTATGAATATCATACTTAGAACAAACTCAGAGCCCTTCCTACTTTTTTTTCGCACTTTTGAATGCAACATTGAAGGAGATGCATTTATCTTTTTGATATTTGAAGAGTCTGTATTAAATCTAACTTTTGTTTGACTAAAACAGCTTTTAATGGAATGTTGTTCCCTACTTTTTTACATTCAACCCATTTTCTCTTGCTTGATGTTTACATAAAAGACCATTAGAGGGCGCTACAGTAGCATTGAAAACAAGTACAGCTCCAGCTCCTCTGTGTCTCAGGCCTTATAACATCTGAAACCTGCTCAAGAAATGAGGAGATCTTACATTTATAAATAAAATAAAAATATTATAAATTCCATTGTCATTATTGTCTTATTTATTATATTATTGCATTTGTTACAATTGCATGAAAAACAGGGTTCATGGATTTTATTTGCACAACATATGTTAACATAATTAAACTGCAGTTTGTGAAATTTAAAAATGCCATCGGAAATTACATTTAAATCCAAAACTTCAGCACAATCTTGAAGATTTGTGAAATAATGAAAAGCACAGTAAAGTCAATATAGATCTTTTCAAATACAAAATAATGATTAAAATCTTCTTCCTTTTGCACTATGAGGTTCCATCAAGATGATTTAATCATTAGTGTGTTTTTCTGTGTTTGTTTGGTGCTAATATTTTAATTAAAAATGTTAATTTTACCTCCGGCAAAGATGATTTGCATACCACTAAACAAGCTTCTATACAGTGTGTTTCTGCTGTTTAGTTTGTGGTCTCTCAGGA